ACCAGATCGCAAGCTCAGACCACGGCCTAAGGCCACTGAAAAGCTATTTGAGAATGCTAGTATAATGTTAACACTTATTTAGTTGTGTGATCTAAGAGCCAATGTGAACTGATTTACATTCGATTTGGTGATTTATATTTGCTTGATAAAGCCTAAAAAAGAAACGACAACGTGTTGTCCACACCTACGCGAATCTCGAAATGCGTTCAAATGTGTTGGGACATCCAAACTTGGTCGTGAAGCCTTCTGTAATGGAGCGAAAACTATTATACTAAAGTCAAAACCACTCGAAAGGAGAACACACGTTCTTATCGATGCTGCTTCTATTTTGAGTGAGATTATTCAATTCGAATTGCGTGCCTATCGCCCCCACACATGCAGAGAATATCGAACCGTCGTTGCAATGCAACGCAAAACGAAAACGTCAGCACGAAGCTAGTAAATCGCCTTATGCAAAAATTCCACTAGAAACCAACTCTCTCATTGATAAAAGCTTCAGTATTGTTGTAAAGAAGCAGAGGAAGTATATCGACAAGTTAAATAACCTTATTCCAAGGATGTTATCCGCTACGAATTGACAATGAAGAGCAATTATCTTCTAATTTCACAAACGCAAAGGTTATGTTATTTAGTAATGAAGACAGCGTTTTCCAGTAAATAAGTCTCATGAAAGCTATCAACATTTAAGATTTGTTCGACCACGACTATTTACTCCACGCGCGTGTGATCGCACGCGGTTGCAATAGAGCATCAAAACTTGCATCAAGTATGGCGGTAACCAGCGTACATTATCACCCAACAAATTTGTTAAACTTTCCCTAGCACGTCGGGTAACAATCAAACTGGCTACCATGTCGAGACTGTAACGAAATTCTTAACCTCAATTTAAAAAAAAGCCATGCATTCAACACTTGCTGGAGATGCCCTATCATATGTAGACGCTGACTTCGGCGAAGTTCATGAAAAGCGATGCGGTCACAATAACAGCGAATAAATAATTAAACATGATGCAACCCAAACTGATACCGTCGCGAAGAGAATAGTGTTACAAGGCCGCTGGTCACATTTGTATGACAGTCCATTGACGGTATTCCTTTAGGAAACTTCGTTAACATAGGGACGGCTCCTCAACAGAAAAAAATTCTGCAAGTAAAAGGTAATCAGCATATCTCGAGCGCGCCTAGAAGCTGCGTGGATAAAGTGCTTCCCATAATTTGTTAATATCCGGCGGAGTATGTAAAAACAGATTATCCACATGACTTCTATCAGGTGCGGAGACGGCCTCGTCAAATCCATAGGGTCCTCTAATCAGGCTCCGAAATATGGACTGCAAAAGCTG